AAATGACTTTGTTGCTACCAACTGATAAGATAGACACTGTAGACTGGTTGTCCGACCTATGCTTGCATTCTTTGTTTGTAAGACTTGCRGCAATGACTCCAACACTAAGCGCACTGCTTTCAATTCCCTGAAAGTAGAGCTCTGGAGACGTAAGGTCTGCAGTAAGATTAAGTAGCACTGTGAATGCAAATTTTATGCAAATTAGCTTTTTTTCGGGCATTTTTACAAGTCTTCTCGTAGATAATCCACACCCCCAATTTGGGAACTATTTTTTTTTAGAAAAAAAATGTGACTTATACATGAGTAAATACGGTATGTATCAGAAAAACTTAAAACTCAGGTAGAGATGTTTACYTTTTATTGCATTCTATATTTCCTATTATTTGATAAAAACAACACAAATGCTTAGTTTTGACTAGCTGTGATTGGAGTAATTTCAAACATGTAAGCCTTTTTACTGATAATAAATCACAGACTATGCACAATGTATAATATCAAAGCTTACCTTATGAACAATGACATCTGAATATGTACGAAGTTGAAACCAGTTGGCAACAGACTGTTCAATGCTGATTGTGTCTTTTTGTTGAAAGTCATTTCTTAAGGAATTAATTTGAAGCAGCAAGCATTTTGACTTTGTCTGTTCATCTGGATGATAAATTTCCAACACATCACCAATATGACAATCAGGAAATTCTTTCGGATTTACTATTAGTGCATCTTCACAAAATGTGTGTTGATGAACCCACAACTTGAAGAGCTTCATTACACTGGAAGCAAACAAATATAATTTAATAATGCTAGTAAAAATTGCTATGGCAAGCCGATTAGGACATAAGTATAGTGGAAAAAATTTGAATGACGAGTCAAAATATTACAGTACGAGTTCTAATTTTTTGTTACTTCYMGAAAAAAAGACTACTACACGAGAAAACGTATTAATAGACGTGAAAAAAATATTCATATACGATATATAAATTTCAGTGGACGAGAAAAATTATTGACATGCGAGAAAAACTTTCAGTAATGCAGTACCAACTGAAACCTGCTTTTTGATTGCTCCTTAAGTACAGCACCACTATTGTTAGGTTAGGTTTTGTTATATTGTTGGAAGACTTATCTATTGTTTGTCCATTGTTTTCTCAACCTATCATGAGACCCGTTCCGAGCGGTGCTACCTGGCTCAAAACTTTATATAAAACAAAATCAAAGATGGCAGACTCCTTCAATCGATGATTTTTAAAAGAGCTGTCAGTTAATGGAAAAAAATCTCATCATTCGATAATAGTCATCCCTTATTCTACATGTTCACTGAATCCTCTCTTCCGCCAATTGACCTTGTTTGTACTTTGAATGATTGCCTCTTGACATTGTTGAGTGAAATCAATAGCATAATTAGCGCTTGTCAGCTTTTTTTTTATGGTATTATAGAAAAAAACGAAAAATTCAATATGGGCTCCCTCAATATCAATATGACCGTTTACAGAAAGTACTTAATGCTGCTGCTAGGGTAACTTGTCTTATTCCTAAATTCGAGCATATTTCTCCAGTTCTCATGCGGCTACATTGGTTGCCAATTAAGTATAGAATNTTGTTTGTCCATTGTTTTCTCAACCTATCATGAGACCCGTTCCGAGCGGTGCTACCTGGCTCAAAACTTTATATAAAACAAAATCAAAGATGGCAGACTCCTTCAATCGATGATTTTTAAAAGAGCTGTCAGTTAATGGAAAAAAATCTCATCATTCGATAATAGTCATCCCTTATTCTACATGTTCACTGAATCCTCTCTTCCGCCAATTGACCTTGTTTGTACTTTGAATGATTGCCTCTTGACATTGTTGAGTGAAATCAATAGCATAATTAGCGCTTGTCAGCTTTTTTTTTATGGTATTATAGAAAAAAACGAAAAATTCAATAAAAGGTGGAAATCTCGAGAAAATGCATTCAAACTCACACTATACACTGTGCTTGATTTATTACACTTGCATACGAAGTTTTGCTCTGTACAGTGAAATAAACTGCCTGTATGTTTTTTATTGATTTTTTCGTTTTTTCTCTATGAGACCTTATGAGAGGTCATACCATGAGAAATAAATAAGTTCATAAATCAGTTTGTTAATATAAAAACAAGATCCACTTTGTGGAACACACCGAGTCCACGTTACWTAAAGAGTATAGAAATTTGTCATTTTTATCAGCTCCGTGATTCGGATTTGATAGATTCTGTGGATATCTTTTCACATCGATTCTTTTGAATATTTTTATCATTGCAGCGGAAATTTAGCATTCGGACTGCATTCACAAATACTCAGAGATGAAATGTCACTTCGCATTTCAGAAAGAAAAAAAGGACAAGTATATTTTAAAGTTAAAAAAAAAATATAGAATTGTTTAGAAGATCCCGAAATCGAGAATCGGAGAATCGGTGACATTCAAATATGATCTTGCGTGTAAAATAATAATAAAACAAGTATCTGCAGGAAAAAATAAACATGTCTAGAACARGTTTACGATTTCATTAAAGGGACATGGTCCTCCAGCATCCCTTTCCAGCTTTTGTTTATGTTTGAAAATAGAAATACATCATAATATAAGCAAAAACTTACTTCTTATTATTCCTTTATACTATATGAATGCTTTAAGATTCGACCTTTAATCCGATGGATGGAAACTGATTGCGAATGGATTAATTCGAAGCCACCTCATTTTCCATATATGAAAAATCTAAAACACGACYGCACTGCATGCTAGTGGACCATGTCAAGGAAGATGAATTGTTTAGAAGTGCTTGTGTCGAGAATCTAGAGTTCGACACTTTTTGAGTATGATTTTCTGTGCAAAATCAAAATAACGGCTTGAAGATGATAAGTAAATGAATATCTACAGGATAAAATCAACATGGCAATATTTCAGTTAAAAAGGAAGGAAAAAAMTATTGTTTAAAAGTGCTCAAGTCAAGAATCGAGCTGACAAAACTCAGTCCGACAAGAACTTTATTTCAGTTAAAAAGAAAGAAAAGAAATGGTAAATTTTGTAAAAATTGGTAAATTTTTTTCACTATACTTTTGTCCTAATCGGCTTCGATAAATTGCAAAAGTGCAACCAGCACGTAAATATACTAAGTGCTGAACTAGATCTAAACTACAAAAATTGCCCACAATCTCTTTGTTTTGAACTTAATTTCCCAGCCTTGCAGGCCTCGCAAGTACGTCTACATGGTAGTCGCCACTGATATATGAGCCTGCCAAGTTTCAACGCGTATATTTCATTCTCTGTGGTCGCTGAAGATTGAGAGTTGCTCGCATAGAAACAGCATTTCGGGATATTCAAAGTTGTTGTATGAGGAATTAAACCACTAGTATCGAGTTAGAACATACTCCATGCTCATAATACCTGTATGCTGCGTACATCTGGTTTATTTTCAAAATGTGGTGTTTGTGGTTTGAGTTATGCACCTATCAATGTTTTGCCACAGGGTGGGTGGAGGGGAGGCGAACCCCGGGGATTTGATTTTGGAGAGGGGATTTCGATTTGAATCTCTGGGGAGGAAAATTTGACACGGAAAATTTGCAACTAATGGGCGCCATTTTGAATGCCGAGTAATCCTGGAAACAAATTTTATCCAGGATTCAACTTGAGAAGGTAAATATCGAACTACTTTCACTTGATTTATCATGTAAAATGCGATGTGATTAAATGATTAAACTTGTTACAACAATTAATTTAGCATTCAGTCATTATGTCCATTATTTGTCCCTTTGTTCATAGCTCAATAACCTGCAAAAATCTAGTATGAAACACTTTTTTTTGGTCCCGAGGGCCGGGAATTTGATCGATACCAATGGACCAGGGGTAGGGGTTTTGAATATTAAAAATCGAAAATGTCAAATTCCCCGGGGTTTGCCCGCCCTCTCTCCCATCCTGGGACAAAACATTGATAGGTGTGCATTAAAATAAAGGAACAATAAGCTTAAAGCTTACTTTTCTAGATTAGGGACCATAACTTTACACATTTCATTCAGAACTTATATTTCATACCTTCGTTGGCTTTCTTCGATTACTGTTTCAATGTAAGTTACGTACAATCGTGAAGGTAGATACTACATGTCTGCAAAATGTCATCCGCTTCAACCTGTTCAACCTCGTCCCCAGGGCCATCTCGGCCGACTCATTTTCAAGATGGCCACCAGAGCCCAGAGTCTTCTCGGCTAATGTCAGCGGTATTGGACCCAATCTCGTACCAAGAGCCCACACTTTTGCCATCCAGCGGATGTCAATGCGTGAGAGACTTATCCACTTATCGCATAACCACACATGTTTTCACACATTTGTGTTTTTTAAAAGGTGGCAATACTGTTCCTAAACTAAGTTGTGTGCTAAACCTTCTAGTCAGGTAGCTTAGTGCAGAATTTTGGCTGGATCTATACAGATCGGACAAAAGCACCAMAATTTGCATRAAGATAGCTTAGAGGGTACTTATCAATATTAGGACCGGTGCCCAGGTCAAACTCTTCAGGATTCCATTTTATAAGGCATTTAATACTCGAAAAAATCGATTGTTGGGCTCCCTGTGGTAAGCTTTTACAAAATTCAATATTCTTGCCTAAATCTTCCTGTAAGTCATGCCTTTTACTCAAACTATGAATTAACAGCCTATTTTGAACTGAGTTTATTAGAAAAATGTCGAAAAAATCAAAAAAATAGGAATGTTTTGCCGTTTTTTATAAAAACAAGCTCTTACCCAGGCCCCACTCATTCATCCAAGATAATAAGAGACCATTACATGTAATTTCAATCTAAAATTCACTCATTTTCCAAATCCTTTTGTTTAAAATTATTGTACAGCTTTTTTAGGTTTGTGGACGTCTTTTTTCAGCTTCAAATTTTGTGTTTCGTTAGTGGAAAACTTGATTGTTGGTTAAAATCGTTATTACTTAAACATTGCATTGGCACTTGCACAGAGGAGTACATCCCAAATTTGCCTTAACACATTTGCATCTGGTGCAATTTTTCCTGCAGGAGCATCTAATAAGCTCTTGACAAGCCTTTGACACCTCACAAATTGTCATCCATAGTGGCTCCCAAACGTCACCATTCTTGTGCCAGCCAAAMTGATCGGGTGACGGAACATYCTGGTTGGCAATATCACATGTCGTCCAAATACTGGCCTGGAAGATTGCTCGATTTATATGCTGCAATAGCGCGTTCTATAAACAACAATTTTATTATAAATAACTCTTACAAAATTTATTTTTTTCAAATTACTCTTATATTACTCTAATTACTCTTGTCTATAACATTAAAAACAAGCTCTTGTATATACCTGTGTAGGAGGAAGATTATCGATCGATCGATTGTGTTTTCAGAAGAGATCTCTTCTCACGTCATTGATGGAGTGGAAAGGACTCGTTTTATCATACATGATAATAACCATTCTTTCCAGGCTCTGAAAGTGCGTTGACTCAGGATTCAGTTTTTGGATGGGTTGTCTGCAAGGTACTGTAGAGCTGGCGTAACCTGGTCATTACAAAGGACCCATGCTTGCCAAGCTGATCGTTTCCCTTTCCCGAAGAACGAGGACGTTGTGTCGCATCCAGTTAATGCATGGAATATCGGGAGGGAGCGGGACTTCTGTGGACCAAGTAAAGCGCAGATGCTGTTAATGTAAAGATACTTGAAGTGTCTTCCCATTTCAAAGGCTACCCATAGCTGTATATTACGATTTTAAGCGATTTTCATWTAATGCGTGAAGCTCTGGGAGTAAAAACAACTGGGTCCCGTTCATAACGGAGTTTTCAGTACAGTCAACCAGTTCTATGAACGCTCTTGCCTCATTGAAATCTTCATCCTCTTCATCCGTTGCTGATGCACTTTTCTTCTTGCGCTCAARCGACCTATGCATATTTCTTACATTTGTAAGACATCTCATATGATACTTTGCCTCTATGGCAATGACGTCACCTTTTGATAGCTTTGCAAGGGAAAAGTTCTGCAAGTCTGTTGCCATACGTTGTAGATTCATCCCAGCTTCAAGTGTGGTAAAAGAGTGAAGAAGATCAGCTTCATGACCTTGATCGCATAGAGCGGATTTCGYATGAGTGGGAAACGGACGGTACTGTACGGTGACCGTAATCGTACTGTAACCAAATTCTAGTGCCCCATTGAAATTGACTCTCAGTATGCAAGCATCAGACTTCAGGTTACATGACTCTCGAGGACGTTTGCTAGATCTTTCAGGCTGTTCTTCCATTAGATGTTCATTCGAAGCTCTTAATTTTGCTTGAGCTTTTCTAAGCTTGGACTGGCTAAACTTAAGATGACACGATTGATGCCATTTCGCATTATTAACAATAGAGCGGATTTCGTATGAGTGGGACACTGTTACCGCACGGTTACCGCACAGTTACCGGACCTGGCCTGCACAATTTTGGTGAACCAGTGGGGCACTAGAATTTGGTTACAGTACGATTACGGTCACCGTACAGTACCGTCCGTTTCCCACTCATACGAAATCCGCTCTAAGCTCATCTACAGTAGTCGTCTTGATGTCAAACTTCAACTGTTCAACTAGTGAAGAGCCAACATCTTTAAATCCAGTTACATTGTCAAGAAAAGTCTTGTAGATATTGCTTCTAAAAGTGTGAGCATTCTTCGGGCATCTAAGAGATTCACGAGTTGATTGCTGGCAAATTATGCATAGACTCCAGTTTAAAACATCACGATCAGCTAACGAACTGAACCAATCCTACAAAACTTCAGTCATTATTACAAATTTAGACTTAATCCTGGTAAACAAAGTGTTTGTTTTGCTACTTTAAAAGCTGAAAACTATCAAAAAGAAAAAAAAAACAATAGTACTTGCTGATATTATATCGAATAAAGACAGATTTCTTGTCTACTTGCAGCTCATGTAGTGAAACTTTACATCCGCCATCTTGGATGAATGAGTGGGGCCTGGGTAAGAGCTTGTTTTTATAAAATCGGCAAAACATTCCTATTTTTTGATTTTTTCGACATTTTTCTAATAAACTTAGTTCAAAATAGGCTGTTAATTCATAGTTTGAGTAAAAGGCATGACTTACAGGAAGATTTAGGCAAGAATATTGAATTTTTGTAAAAGCTTACCACAGGGAGCCCAACAATCGATTTTTTCGAGTATTAAATGCCTTATAAAATGGAATCCTGAAAAGTTTGACCTGGGCACCGGTCCTAATATTGATAAGTACCCTCTAAGCTATCTTCATGCAAATTGTGGTGCTTTTGTCCGATCTGTATAGATCCAGCC